GAGATTGATTGGTAGTAACACAACTTGGTTGTTACAATATCCTTCCCTTTAATATTCAAATAATTTTTTATTTCAAAATTTCTTACATTCAAACGAAAAATAAATTTGACTTTTTTAAAAAAATATTTCATAATTAAGAACTACTTTTTTGATTTTAACAAAAATGTCATTTACATAATAGTTTTTGAATATCTTTGCGTATTTTACAAGGGACACTAATTAATCGTACAGAAAAATAAGGACTAATTAATAGATAATTTCATGATTTTGATAAGTTTCATCAAATTATAGACTGAAATTTACCGTGTAATCTTATCAATCAGTATTTTGACGGAACAAATAATAAAGTTGATTTTTCAACGAGTAGAAATAAATCTTATGATATTATTTCGCATAAATAGTATCCCTAGCAATACATAATTAAGAATGATTGTTAGATTTAATAAAGTAATAAAATTCATTCAACAGATTATATGTTTCAACTGATTTTGGAGCAAAATTTTTTGCCTCTTTATTGTCTGTTCTCCGGATAGGTTCTTTTATTTTTTTAATAGAAAAAATAAGGATTGAAACCTCATTTTTGCCAAAAATTTAGGAATAAATCCGGATTATTTACGGTAGACTTTCTGTTTATTTTGAAAAAAAATCAAAATCGATTAATAATATGAGATTCTTAATGATATTCATATATAATCTAGATAATGAATTTAGAATATCTTGTTCTATTTTGATTGGATTTGGTTTAGGGTTTAGGATTGGATTGGATCCGGATTATCTTGCACTAATAAATCCGAATAACACCTATCTTGATACCTCAATTTGATTGTGATTTATTGGATTTGGTTCTCCTCTTTGGTTCTTTCAGGAGTATATGTTAAGAGCAGAGGCTCGGCTTCCCAGTATAACAGATGAGAGGATGCAGCTCCCGATAGAAAAGCTCCTATACGTGTGAAATTTGAGATACCATATTTTACTGTTTCTGGAATACAGGTATTGCTGCATAAATGCGGTTTCCTTATATTCAGAATATCTTTATGATATTTTTTCAGCATTCGAAATAATATTTGCTTCCATTAATGTTTCTATCTCTTTCTGATTAAATTTAGGAGAATCAGAATATCTTTAGGATATTTTTTCAGCATTCGAAATAATATTTGCTTGTTATAAAAAAAATAAATAAATAATAATAATATTTGCTTCCATTAATGTTTCTATCTCTGTCTGATTAAATTTAGGAGAATATTTCATTTAAAAGTTATTCTGCTCTATAAAAATCAAACAAAGTCAATTTTGAAATCAATTCTTTTACCATCCATCCCAAAAAGGCAATTTTCCAACATTATTTATTGTGTGTGTCTCTATGCTGTTTTTCCAGTTTGGATTTTTTTAAGTGTCTCTATGCTGTTAGAGATTCAGATTCTACATATTGCAGCTCACAAAAGTGATGCAATTTGTCTCTTCATTCTTTTCATGGTAATTGAATCCCCAATTAAAATATATCCTTGATCTCATATCCTTTTAATGAAGTTGTGAAAGACAGTGAGTGCATCATCATAGTGAAAGAGGAAAAGCAATTGGGTGTTATTGGCTACAGTTGAAATCAACTCCACTTACCCATGGCTGGCTTCTAGAGATTGTTCTGAGGTAACGTTCTCTTATCTTTGTCTTTTTTTTTTTTTTTATTTCTATTCTTTTGTTTGGGTTTGCCTTGTGAATATGTTCTATTTTTTTATTTTTCTTTTGACTAACGAAATTAAGGGGGGTTTACTGTTGCTGCTCTTGTTAATGCCTTTGTGTCTATAATTTTTGAATTTTAAACCTTGTGTTGGAATCATTAATTATTGATACTATAACTTTCCCAAAATTCTTTCAATAAGCTATGCTAAATTGGCAAAGCATATCAAAGATGATTACAATGATTTAGCTCCCTTCCTGACCAGAAAAAATAAAATAAAAATAAAAATAGTGTGCTTAGACTGCTTATATCTCATTTTTGCATGATGATTTTACTGATTTCTTTCATAAAATATTGAAGGTTGAAAACTTCCTAGTTAATACTAATTATATCATTTATTATTTTTATTCAAGGTTAAAAACTTCCAAACTTCAATTTCAATTTCTCAATCAATGTCTACTATTTTCTTTTAAGGTGAAAACTTTGAAATTCGAATTTCACAATCAATGCCATTCAAGGTTGAAACTTTGAAAATGTCACAATTAATACTAATAATATCATTTATTATTTTCATTCAAGGTTCTGATTTGATTCAAATTTGAAATAGATTTATGCAATTTTGTGATCCTATTTCTGAGTTACTTGAGGGGAAAAAGATCCTTAATAATTTTTTATATATATATATTAGTGCAACGCAAACCCAACCCTCTCAAATGCAGACCCAAAAAGAGTTGCAGAGAATGAGAGTTGCACACCATAAAGGGATACTATACCTTTATTAACGTTATTATAATCTTGGCCACCACCTCCTTAAAGATCTAAACTTATGTCCTTTTAGATTCTAACCGTTGATTTCCGTACATCAACGATTAAGATTTATTAGGTCAAATTTATTAATTAATTATTAATTCACAATAAAACCCAATAAATCCTACCTGTTAATAGACGGAAATCAACTGTTATGATCTAAAATGATATAAGATTAGATCCTTTAAAGGGACAAATATTCTTTTCATAATTAATTTGATTGACTGAAATATATATTTTCGGTTAAATAAAGATAACAAGAAAAGATGATACGATGCGGGTAATTTTCGTTTTTTTATTAAGAGTCTATTTAGATGGGCTTTCTCAGTTTATGTGTATTTCGACTTTTAAAAAAAAAAAAAAAAAACCAAAGTGCGATTACAATCTTGGCCACCGCCTCCTTAAAGATTTTATTTTATTTTTTATTTTTATTAAAAAAAACCGTTATTACCGATAAGTTGGATCTTGAAAGATAATAGTTTTTTTGAATATCTTTGCGTATTTTATAAGGGATACTAATTAATTGTATCCGAAAACAAGGATTAATTAATAGATAATCTCATGATTTTGATAAGATTCCATCAAATTATAGATTGAAATTTACCGTGTAATCTTATCAATCAGTATTTTGACGGAACAAATAATAAAGTGAATTTTCAACCAGTATAAATAAATCTTATAAATTCCCAAGTAATACATATATAATCTAGATAATGAATTTAGAATATCTTGTTCTGATTTGATTCAAATTTGAAATAGATTTATGCAATTTTGTAATCCTAATTCTGAGTTACTTGAGGGAAAAAAAATTCTTAGTAATTTTCTATATATATAAGTGCAACGCAAACCCAACCCTCTCAATGCTTATTCTACTCACTGTGCCCTATCTCTCTACAATCTTTTTCTCTTTACATTTGACCATTCTTCTTCTTCTTTTTCTTCTTCTAAGAAGATGATAAAATTGCGTAGTTCAGAAAAAGACATGTTTGAGATGGAGGAAGCGGTGATAGTTCAATCGATGTTATTCCTCTTGAGTATGTCAACAGTCTCGTCCTCGCAAAGGTTCTTGAGTATTGAAACAAGCATCATGCAGAGGACGACGACAACAACAACATAGATGCTCTCAAAAAATGGGATGATGAATTTGTTGAGGTGGATAAGCACACCCTCTTCCTTGTATTGATGGTGAGTGCATCTAAATATTCACATCCACATATATAACAATTGTCTCAACCATTTAATAATGTTATAGTTAGTGAATGGTTTTTAATCTGATGGTGTATCCTCCTAATTTTAACATGGATTTTATTATCTCGAGATAAAAAAATTAAAAAAATAATAATTCTTTCGCTGATAAGGGTTAATAACTTATTATTATTGGTAATTTGGATTTGATTTTCAACTTTTGCTTTATATTTAATTTTATTTTAAATTCTCAATTAAATTGAAGGTCATTCTGATTTGAAGGGTTTGTGTCTCCCTGAATTTGAATTTTCATGTAAAAAAAATCACTTCCCATAAATTTTTAACTTTATAAGTGAGTAAAATGAATAATCAAGAAAGCGCAAATTTTAACTGCAGAATCAGTACTTTGCTAAAATTAAAGGTGAAAAAAGGTAAAAATCCATTGAATTGCGCAAATTAATACATATCTGTAATGTGCTACATCTTCGTTATTTCTATCCCAATTTTTACAAATTGTGTTTTACTTTATGGAGTCTAACTTTGGATTAGGGATTTGTATATTTTAGAAATTTTGTCATGTATGTTTATCCATATATATATCTTAGCGTTGATGTGCTGTTTAATCAAAGTGCTTTTATAGTATTGTTAATTTGTGGTACTTTTCTTTGTCAGGCGGCAAATTATTTGGAAATTAAGAGTCTGTTGGATCTGACATGTCAAACTATGGCAAATTTGATAAAGGATGAGAGTCTAGAGGAGATACACCAATACTTCAATATAAAGAATGATTTTAGTCCTGAAGAAGAGGAGATATGCCAATACTTTAATATAAAGAATGAATTTAGTCCTGAAGAAGAAGAGGCCATTCGGAATGAGAATAAATGGGCTTGTTATGGATATGAATACAATATCCCAACTACTCACCTAAGAATCTACTAAGAGATAGATTCATGAATATCTCAACAACATTAAATAGTCAAAGGGCACAAGATAAGGGTCACATCCCAACAGAAAGGGAGCTGAACCCTAATGCAATCTGGGGAGCTCAAAAGGCCCAAGCCTAGGAAGGTATTCTTTATAAATAAGAGCCTAAGGACCCCAGGTACACACTTTGAACCTATTTAGGAACACTTCCCACATTGTGCACACACCCACCCCTTGGCTATAAGCCTATTGCTTGTGCGCAGTGATTGGGACCTCGACTATAAGCCTAGTATACATCTGATTATACATTATCTTTGAGCGCATACCTCACGGTATAGCAATACGGTCTATCCAGGACCTAACATTGGCGCCGTCTGTGGGGACGATAAATTTCGATTCCCATTCCACGATGACGAACACCCGCTCGACGTCTAGCACTGTCCAAATGCCTCCACACCAACCTGCATTGGAACAGCTCCAATCAGCCGCGACCCCTGTGCTAGTAGAGGTCCAGGTCGGCGAGGTCGGCACTCAAGGACTGCCCTCCAGAACCCAGCCCAACACGATAGCGGACCTAGTGCGCCCACCTCCACATAATGAACAATTCAGGGACATAACCACTGTGGCCATGAATGCAATCCTCCAAAGGATGCAGGAGATGGAGAACAGATTCCTGGCTCAACAAGGGCTGAATGCCCAGAGGATGGAGGCGCTGAAGGCTGAGATGCGAAATCAAAACCTTGTGGGGCGAGCTGGAGGAGCAGGCCGAGGTAGAAGAGCAGGCCAAGCTAGAGGAGCAGGACGAGGTGGAAGCGCAGGCCAGGCTAATGAGCCACAACATCAAAACGCGGCCACGACAGAAGGAAATATGCAGAATTCCCGCCATGACAACCACCAGGAGGGCGGAGGACCAGTCAACAACCAAGGAGATAATTATCTCCTTGATGAGGAGGCTAACGATAGCCCATTCACTGAAAGGCTCATGAACTTGGCAATACCGTCGAGATTCAAGAGTGCCAAGATACCACCGTACGCCGGAAGTCAAGACCCGGAGGCCCATTTAGAGGCTTTCAAGACCGAAATGTTGTTCAATGGGATAACTGAACCTATCAAGGCCAGAATCTTCGCGACGACGTTAACAGGCCAGGCAATGGCCTGGATAACCAGGCTTCCCAGGAACTCGATTGACTCGTTCGAGGACCTAGACCGAACTTTCCGGTTGAATTTCGCAACAAGCAAGGCGCATCCAATGCCGGCCTACGCGTTGGGAAGAATCCGAAAAAAGGAGAATGAATCATTGAGGAAATACCTCAATAGGTTCAAAGATGCCACCCTAAAGGTTCGGAATTTAACTGAGCCAGTACACTTGCATCTGATCATCTCGGGATTAGATGGCGATTCTCCACTGACGAAGTCAATTTACAAGAACCCGGTCAATGACCTGGAGGAGTTCCGACGAAGGTCGGACAAATACATTGATGTGGAGGACATGCAGAAGGGCTTATGGGGAATCCAGAGGTTGAAGCCCGAATAACAAGAGTCCAAGCAAGAAAAACAAAGACTGGGATCAACGGGGGGCGAAGAAGGGAAAAGACACTCAGGAGAATAGGTCGGATGACCGATCCCCAAGGAGCAAATATGATGATTACACGCCTTTGAACATGTCCAGGTCTAGGATATGGAAAGAGGTGGCCCAGACTGAAATGCACAATGTCGAGAGACCTCGACCCCTGAAAGCCAAGAGTGGATTGGATAGAAACAAATACTGCGCTTTCCATGACCAGAACGGTCACATCACGGATGACTGCTGGGACCTCCGAGATGCCATCGAAAAACACATCAGAGAGGGGAAATTGAAACAATACTTCATCAGAATTCAGGGCAAGAAGAATAATAAGCGAAGGCAGAGAAACCAGAGCCTAAGTCGGAGCCTGAAGAGAGAGGATAGAAAGGATCAGAGACAAGACCGCCCTACAAAGGGCAAAGAGGTCGAAGATAAAGATGAGGTTTTTTAGGAAGCCGAATTTGAGTGCAACGTGATAAGCGGAGCTCTGGGTGGAGTAGGAGACACGACCAACGTAAGAAGAAAGTACCTGAAGAGTGCTACTATGAGACCCTACGAGTAAATCAAGGAGGCCTGTCTTCTCCCCCTCGGCACAAAAATGGAGGAGGTAGGGACCAATCTCTACACCCATGTGGAAACGAAGTAAACTTGGTGGAGCTGGACATGAGGGAGGAGCTCCAAGCCCCTCGTCCATAACCCCAAAGAGAGCTGGAAGATGTCAGCATTAGGAAGGAAGAAAAAGGGAAAACTAAGGTGGGAAAGGGCTTTGAGGACGAGTTCAAAAGGGAGCTGGCCGCTTTCCTAAGTGAAAACTCTGACGTGTTCGCATGGAAGGCTTCGGAGATCCCGGGAATAGACCCAGCTTTCTGCTGTCATAAGCTCTCTATGTACCCGGGATCGAAGCCAGTGTCCCAAAAGAAGAGGAAGATAGGATCTGACCGACGTCAGGCTTTGAACGAACACGTGGACGAGCTGTTGGAGGCCGGTTTCATCAGGGAAATACAATACACCACCTGGTTATCCAACGTGGTGAATGTGAAGAAACCGAGTGGGAAGTGGAGAATTTGCGTGGACTACACCAACCTCAATAATGTCTGCCCGAATGATTCGTACCCGATGCCAAACAGTGACCAGCTAGTTGACAATTCGTCAGGATTTCAGCTACTATCTTTCATGGACGCATACTCCGAGTATAACCAAATCCCGCTACACCCTGATGACCACGAGAAGACCTCGTTTATCTCGGAAAAGGGAAACTTTTGCTACAACGTCATGCCTTTTGGCTTCAAGAATGCAGGGGCAACCTACCAAAGGATGATGAACCGTGTTTTCCAAGATCAAATTGCAAGAAACCCAGAGGTGTACATCGACGACATGATCGTCAAGTCAGCGCATATAACTACACATATAGCCGACCTCAGGGAAACATTCGAGCAACTAAGAGCTCGAAAGATCATATTGAACCCGGCCAAATGCGCCTTCGGAGTACCAGCTGGAAAATTCTTGGGCTTCATGCTC